GTATGAAAAACTTTGAATTCTGAGTTAGCATCAGAATTCATGCCGGAATATGTGTTAATGTGAGGTGAATCAGGTGAAGGGAAAGCAAAAAGTGGAATGATGAGAATTGAGTTTTGAAGATTGGCTGGATGGAAAATTGAACGGTGAAAGGATCCAACTTGTCGGCTCATCGTGGGCTGAAAAAAAATGATTGTTTTGAGATTGAAAAGTGGCGATATGGGGCTGTTCGATTATTTGTTCATATGAAATGTCATTTTGGGATTGTTGTGTTACTATATGGTGAATTCGGTTTTGTATATAATTAGGTCTTGAACTTGTAGTACTTGTGAGTGCTAAATTTTTAAAATTTTGTGATACTAATGTTATATAAGCTTGGTAATTGTGGTGCTGTGGGTGATGTGTTTATATTGTTTTGTGATTCATCATATGTGTTTGGTTTTGTTAATATTTTTGTATTATATTCTTTGATTTGTGCATCTAAAAGTATTTTGTTTACTGATGTGGAAAAAATTCCAAAAAATTCTGCACAAAGTATAAGTGCTACGCTTGCTTGTCTGTTTACTTGTATATGTATCGCCCATGTGTTATAGATTCCTTTTAATAAAGAGAAAATAAATCCGATAAAATTAAACATTGCATATAATATAGTCAATCTTTCTAAGATGTAATAGGGCCAACCTAGAAAGGCAAAAAGTTCGTTTTTCAAAGTTATAAAACTGAAATACTTTTTGATGATATATCTTGTGGTGGATATTTTTCGCCGATTAAATATATGTAATCTTTTATATCTTTAAAATATCCGCTGTAATCTTGTGCGTAAATGTCTGCAAATCCTGCGTGCAAGTTTGCGTAAATTTAGATCTATTGATTGTCGTTGTATTGGGTCCAGAAACAGTGGTATGTTCAGAAATAGTGGATGAGATCATTTACGGTCCCAAACATAATCTGATTCTTCTGCTAGGACAGTGTCATCGTTTGTATTTTGGGGTCCAAAATTTTTTCTTGCTTGTGAAATTAAATCGATATTATGTGTGAAATAATCAAGAATAAATTATGCTAAAAATTTTTGCAACTCGTGTTTAACAATTTGTGATACATCGTTGTTTGATAAGTTTTTACGGATTGCATTTAAAAATTCCGAAAATGCTGTTATTTCATTTCTTACAGTCGTATGTCTAGATGTTTGGACTGGTGAAGTTCCTTGAGAGTCTGTTCTTTCTAGTTTAGATAGATAACTAAAAATTATTGAAAATACATCGTTAGTAAATATGGAATTCGCTCTTTGTGAGCTTCGATGTTGTATGTTTTTTATGTATTCTGTGAATACTAATGGAAATTCTATATCTACATCGTCGGTTTGAATTAGATATTTACCATGAAACTTACTTGGTAAACTGATTTCTATGATATAGATTCCATACTGTTGTGCTATATTACATATTCCTTTAAGATAGTGATCGATAATTTGTCTTTTGATTTTTACTTCTGGAAATTCTGTTGTACAGTGACTATTTCCTCTTTCGAATAAATTCGCAATTAAATTTTGACAAAATTGTGTTTGTTCTCTATCATCAGTGAGTGAATTGATGAGAAATGGAAAAATAGAATTTTCGTCTTGGCTTTCTTCACTTTGATTCATTTTTGTGTTTTATGACGGTTAATGCGTAATGTTCAAAATGTTTTATTGGTTGATTCCAATTGTTTAGACCTACTGGTTTGTTTTTTTTGTATGTCTTTTTTATTCTTCGTTTTATTTGTATTGATGCATGTGATGTTGTTTCTGAGTCAGAAAATAAATTGATCATTGACTCGGTAATTTTTATTTACGGAGTCTTTTAGTTTGTAAAGTTCGTCTAAATTACTGGTTTTTGATTCGCATATTGCATTTCTTTGCTTTGAAAATATTTTTCGTGTAATTTTTCTTTGTTTGCTTCATATTTTTCTTCTAATTGTTTATCGTTTTCTTCGAATATATCCTTTTGTTCCTTTGTGTGGAGTGATTACGAGATCATATTTTTCGTTGTTTATTTCACAAATGTGTAGTATGATTGTTTGTTTATTTCCTAAATTGTCTAGTGACATAAGGTTTAGGATGACGGATGCAAAATTGTGAATAGTGAATTTTAAGGTCCTAAACTATTAGTCCCTACAATTTTCTGTGGTTAGCCTAACTTGGGTCATGTATTCAGGGTTGGAGAGAAAGGCATATATCGGTTCCGGAGAATGATTTTTACATTCTCGTGGCTAGTCTAAGTTAAGGTGTTAACTTACTTAATCTTACCTAGGGCTAGTGAGTGTGTTCAAAGGTTGGAGAATAGTAAATTGATCCACAAGGTTCAGGTATAATTAGAACACAAGTAGTTCGTTAGATACTATTTTAAACAAACTAATTTAAGTTTTATCCTGGGTCAGGCAAAAGGGGGATCAAGTGAAGGATGAATAAACGAAGTTGTTCACTCTTTATCCTAATTATAATGGTTAGATTGACTGAAAAATTCTATTATTCATGGGTCTTGAAGAAGGGTTGGGTAGTGAATCGACGTTTGAGGTCGTTAGACACTATATTAAATGTGAGGGGGGAACAAAATTGTTCTATTTGATCCAAGGATATAAAATGATCAGGATATAAAATTATTGAAATAAAATTTAATTGAGATAAAAAGTGAATTAAAGATCCAAGGAAAGCCTTGATGATCTATTTAACTTAAAGGAGTTTAATTTAGTTCAAAATAAGAATTAGGATAGGCCTTTATAAAAAATTTAAAGTTCAATTGATAGTAGGTTTGAGTTTTTGAAGATGTTAGTGGATTTATGATTCGCTGTTATGTTTAGGTGATGAAGCTGGGGATGAAGAGATGATTTAAACATACTAACAATTTGTGTTCAAACTATCTAATTTTTATAATTTTATATTCAATAAAAATCTTTTTTTTTCAGATATCTTTTTAATTTACTGAAGTTTTGAAGGGAACGACTAGAGATGTATAATAAGATATAATAATAAATCGTATTATAATAAGTTTAGCGCCTGTAAAGATTGCTAAAGATTTTTCTTCAAAGATACTATGTTTGTAAACGAAAATCTAAACTTATTGCTAATAAAATTCTGAATATAAAAGTTTGTGTTGGCTTTTGCCGTACGAGCATGAAACTTGATGTTAAGTTCCTTTGTAGCCGTATGTCGTCACTTGTCCCAGGTCTTCTTCCAATACCGGGTAGTTATCGTATTGTTTGGATCTATTGAGTCGTAGAGACATTTCAATAAAATTATTGTTATGTAATATTTTTGAAAATGTTTTTGTCTAATTCTAATCTATCTTGTTAGTTCTAAGCTAAATTAATTTTTAAGTTCTTGTTCGAGACTTTTGGTCGCACCAGATGAGTTGGGATGGATGTTCCATCTCATAGAGTATTTTCAGATAGGGTACACCGTCTGCTCATCACGCTATCTTATTTTCGGCCGGATAGATTCGTGCAACTTCTTTGTCTAATACCGATCTGCATCTTACTCTTAAATCTCTTAGTCTCAATAGATCTAGAGTATACTGGTTTTATTACGATTCGGTCTCATGGAGAACGCAACTAAGTTGTAAGTTAAATTCAAATCTCTCTGGTGCTAAAGTTACAAGTAATTTCAGCACTTACAAATAAGTGGGTTGTTAGTTCGATGGAGTATGATTGCTTAGTCTTTAATATTTTATAGGGATAAAATATCTAAATTATAACCAATAATAAATTATAGTTTGGATCTGGTTCCAATTTTGACCAAATTTCATCTCTTCAGAACACCAGAGGCGGATTTAGGGGGGGGGGAGTTGAGGTCGGACGTTCGTTATGGATTCGACCCCATCACCAACCAAAGGGTCTCCCCCTCTTTGGTATTATTTTATTATTTTATGGCATCCATTATAGGCCGACCAAGGGGAGCGCACGCCGAAAAAACGTATTTATTTGTTCAAAATTTTCCAAAAAAGGCCTAAATTAAGCGACCCTTTATTCTCGTCACAGAATTTGTCCAAAGGGTTTCCGTCGGGTACTACTTTGTGACAATCATTTTGGGTCGATCAATTCTGAAAGTTTTTAGCGGTAAAACATACGAACTACGGCATTTTCTTCCAAAAAAGGCCCAGACTTGGAAATATTTGCCAAGAGTCAGAGCTGAAAAACTTCGAAATGCCTTACCTAAAAAAACTTGATAAACTTTTCGGAATAGCTATTTCAATATTGTCGGAAAAAGTTGTCCACCCACACCTCATATATGCATCAATTTTTTGTTGTAACGAGGGCTTTTACAAGGTTAAGTATGAATACCAAATATGTTTGCCATAGCCTAATTAGTCCGCATACCAATTTTTGTTACAACCTGATGATGTGAACAAAATTTTCCTAGTAAAATTTCGCTGGTAAGGAGGGGGTAGGAGGGGAGGAGGGGAGGAGGGGAGGAGGAAAAAGAGCCTCGGAAAGTTCCTGCTCACTCCAATGGATTAGAAGAACTTAGAAATCCAGTTTTTTTCTAACGCTTTTAGAAAAATTCACACTTGACAATGTTGAACGTTTTTTCTAAATGTTTTTTCAAGAGTGCGGAAAATGAAAATCTATTCCGAAGGGCTAGTCGGCTCTTTTCCAGTTCCCCCCTTTCAAATTAAATACTGAAAAGTCTATTGAACGTTTTCAAAATGCAATGAAATTTGTCGTGGAAAAAATCGACAATTCTGAACAGATTTGTTCTTCATACTTTACAGCGTAACATCACGCATTTAGCCGTAATAACAGGTAAAACAAACATAAAACTCGGTATTTTAAAAGGGGGAAACTGGAAAAGAGCCGGCTAGTCGACCAAAAATTGTGGTCGTCAAAGTATAAGCAAAGAGCAGAGGGGACCTTTTGTGAGACTAGGAGGTTGACTTTCACAGGCCGGCCTCCTAAATTCGCTACAGCATGAGATAAAAACTATTTGAATGATTAAAGGTTTTTGCAAGTTTGGAAGTAGCCCAAATCACAAGGACTTCTGTTGATTTGTTTCGGAAGCAACGATTGTTTTGGTAACAGTATAAATGTTATTTTTAAACTGACTGAAAGTAAGCGATGCAATATGTATTAGAAGTTCTGATCAATCTTTTACAATGCTATCAGAAACAGAAAATGTTTTATCGAACCAGGCGTGTTGCAAGACCTGTGTACATAAAATCTAAAACGAAAGAAAAATCAAACAAACTGTCGAAGAGTTTCATTGTTTTCATTACATATTGGCTTTAGTTTGAGGACTTTCATGGACCAGTTCAAACAGAAAGTAAAAATTCTTTTCTTGACCATATAGTATCTCAGTTTTGATTTTAAAGAGCAAATAGTTTCTGGACTGTTTATAGCACGTGCATTTGAAATCAAAAACTTGAGCATATCTGGCCAATATACTGCTGAGAAAGATATTGTTAAAATAACGTGAATATTTGAAGCCATCTGGGGTCTTACGAATCAGGACTGAGGTTGCTCACACTCTATTGATTTTGCTGCTCTGCCTCAAAATACTCAGTGAAATTGTCATTTAACATCTTCCCTTCGACCCAGATAGACCAAGTTAAATCTTGCACCCCAGCATTTAATTCGAATGAAGTTTTGAATTTTTTAAGCGCTGCAGGTAAAATGTTCAAAACTAAATGGCTGAAAACTCCAGCTTTGAAACAAATTTACACCCTTCCCCACAAACTGCTCGAGCGGGATGTTAACTTGGTCCATAATTCCTCCACGGTTCGATGAAAATTCCTCTCTTAAGAGAGATAAAGAGCTAATTTGTGTCGCGAGACCACAATCAGTCCCCACACCGCGGGTAGGGGTGGCTATCATCAGCAATAATATTGACCACCAATAATTTGATGGGATGCATTGGAATTGATCAAAAGCCACATTGAAGAAGAAAAAACAGTCAAATAAGCAAAAATATTTGTTCAGCCCATTTCAAGCTCGAAAATTTTTTAGGCTCTTTTTCCTAATAAGACAAAATAAGAGGAAAAGCCATTTTTATTGCCAGTTATAAAATTGAAAAACACATTGAGAAACGCTGGCTTTTTTACTGTACTGTTTTTTTTCTGGCAACTTTCCGGTCCGAAATCAGTTTTGTTGATTAAAAATTTTATTGCGTTGAAAGGAGTCTGCTTATCTCTGCAACTAAAATTCAGAGAAAACCGAGTGCTTGAAAACCGACGTAACGTTTTTATCCCAACGTCACAAGTTTTAAAACACTGTGCTGTGCTACAGGGGCGGATTTAGGGGGGGGGGGGCGGTGGGGCGTACGCCTTTCTCCCCCTCAGGGATTCGACCCCTGCCGACCCAAAGGATACTTTTTCAGAAATCCATTTTGGCCGACCGACCCTAAAATTTTTCTAAAGGCGCCTTTGGCGCCAATATATACTAACTTTGAGGGGGAGCGCGCGCCAAAAAAAAACGCGATTTTTTTGTCAAAATTTTTCGAAAAGTGCCCAAAACGGCTTTTTGACTGTTTTTTCAAAAATTTGCCTGCGGCGCAGAAAATTTTGCCAAAATAGGGGCAAAACAGTGCTTTGGGAGTGCTCGAAAAATCAATTTGGTCGACCTAAGAAAAAGGTCGTCAAAATTTTGGAAAATTTTTTGAAAATCCGCCCCCCCTCGAGAAAATCCTAGATCCGCCCCTGCTGTGCTATGACATATCATTTAACCCAATTTATTTGTTGTACCCGATTTTGCCTAAGACAAGTGTTTACTAAAAACAAACTAAACCGTAAGTGGCTTCGAAACTGACAAATCAAGAATGAATTGTTTTTTTCTTCAACAGTGCCTGTATTGGTACTAGTATGCTTGTTCGGTAGCGTGAGAAAACTATGGAACCTGATCTAAACTGTATTTTATGATTGGATAAATTAGATATTTTACCTCTGTAAAGTATTTAATATTAACCAATCATAATCCATCTAACTAACAACCCACTTATTTGTAAGTGCTGAAATTACTTGTAATTTCAGCACCAGAGAGATTTGAATTTAACTTAGAAATTAGTTGTCTCTCCAAGAGAACTTCAGCAGCCGCAATAAACCAGTATACTCTAGATCTATTGAGCCTAGCAGAGATTAGTTAAACAACCTGAGACTAGAAAGTATAAGAGTAAGATTAGGATCGGTATTAGACTAAGAAGTTGCACGAATCTATCCGGCCGAAAATAAGATAGCGTGACGAGCAGACGGTTTACCCTATCCTAAAGGAATTATATACTAAACCAAACTAACCAACGCAGCTTACTAAACACCACAAATCATAAAATAACAGCATGACTAAGAAAAGAAAACCAACGGTACCCAAACCGGATTAACCCAGTTTAAAACTGGATAATTTATTCTTTTGAAGACTATTATAAAGTCTAAGAAAGAAATAATAAAACACAAAAAAGTCGAAAGACAAACCCATAACAAAAACAATTTGATTTTTGAAAAAAGGACACAACCAAAGGAACATAAGAAAGACCAATATAAACCCAACATAAAAAGTTATCACATAACAGGACCTCTCAAAGAAACCGCACGAAATCATACTCCCACTCCTGGCCTAACCCACCAGAGAGGACGTCCTGAGCATGCTCTATAGCCGGCCTAACCCACCGCGCTACATCCACGTTTTGTGACCACACTTCTATTTTTAATAAGAGGTACTCAAGGGTGAGTAACTCTTCAAAATAACCGAACTAAAACAAAATGCTTTTGTGAAAACAACTAACTAAAATCATAATTAAAAAAACTGAACTAATAAAAATTTTATAAAATGTAAATCATACCTTGCAGTATATAGATCAGCACATAACAACAAAGACGAACGTTCATCATCCATCCTTTGAATCGCAGAAAGATAATTCTAAAAAACTCTGTAAAACCCGGATGGGTGGAACCTGATCTAAACTATATTTTTATGATTGGATAAATTAGATATTTTACCACTGTAAAGTATTTAATATTAACCAATTATGATCCATCTAACTAACAACCCACTTATTTGTAAGTGCTGAAATTACTTGTAATTTCAGCACCAGAGAGATTTGAATTTAACTTAGAAATTAGTTGTCTCTCCAAGAGAACTTCAGCAGCCGCAATAAACCAGTATACTCTAGATCTATTGAGCCTAGCAGAGACTAGTAAAACACCCTGAGACTAGAAAGTATAAGAGTAAGATTAGGATCGGTATAAGACTAAGAAGTTGCACGAATCTATCCGGCCGAAAATAAGATAGCGTGACGAGCAGACGGTGTACCCTATCCGAAATTACTCTATGAGTTAACCCCATCGGGTATGACTCATCTGGTGCGACCAGAAGTCTCGAATAAGACCTTAATAGCTTAGATTTAACCAAAAATAGATTAGAATTTAGACAAAACATTTTAAAAATGTTATACGATGATAATTTAATCGAAATGTCTCTACGACTCAATAGATCAGAGCCAATATTCCGAACGATAACAGAACTACCCGGAATTGTAAGAATACCTCGAACAAGAGACGACATACGACAAAGTAGAAACTTACCATATAGTTATATGATTGTACGGCAAAAGCCAACACAAACTTTTATATTTAGAATCTTATTAGCAATGAATTTAGATTTTCATTTGCAAACATAAAATCTTGAAGTCAATCTTCATAATCATTTCAGGCGCTAAACAAAATTATTAATATACAATAACGATTGATAAAAAGATCCCAGATCGTTTTCTTAAATTCTGCAGCCTTATACAAAACTTGTTTGAAAAATATTTATTGAAAATCAAAACAAAAATTAGTAGCATGACAATAAATTGTTAGTAATCATAAAATCATCTGTTGTCCCAACTTCATCACCTAAACATAACAGCAATCATAAGCTAACTAATATCATTAAAAAATTAAATCTTTTTCATAAATAAATTTAAACCATTTTAAACTTAAATTCATTTAATTTTAAAATCAGATCATCAAGGCTTATCCTTGGATCTTAATTAATTTCCTATTTCACTAAATTCAAAAACCTGATCATCAAGGCCTATCCTTGGATCAAAAAGAACAATTTTGTTCTCCCCCACCCACTTAGCAGTGTCTAACGACCTCAAACGTCGATTCACTATCCAACCCTTCCAAAAAACCCAAGACTAATAGAAATTTTTCAACAAAACTAACCATTTAAATTAGGATAAACAGTGAAGAACTTCGGTTATTCATCCTTCACTTGAACCCTCCTCTTACCAGACCCAGGATAACTCTTAGACTTAGTAAGTTTAAAATAGTACTTGCGTTCTAATTATACCTGCACCTTGTGGATCGATTTACTATTCTCCAACCCTTGAACACAATCACTACCCCTAAGTAAGATTAAGTAAGTTAACACCTTAGCTTATACTAGCCACGAGAAAGTAAAAAATCATTTTCTTCGGAATCGATATACTTTTCTCTCCAACCCTGAACAAATAGACCCAGGTTAAGCTAACCAAAAAATCGTAAGGACTAACAGTTTAAGAAAGTAGACATCATTTAACAACTTTTTGCATCCCTCATCCTAAATCTTATGTCATTCAAAAATCTAGGAACTAAACAAACAATCGTTTTACACAACTGTGAAATAGATAACCAAAATCTTGTAATCACACCTCATACACAAACAGTTGGATATATTAGAACAAAACGACTAAAAATAAAAAGAAAAAAAAATAAACAAACAAAGACAAATCACACGAAAAAGATTTTCAAAAAATAGAAACGCATTTTTTTCAGAATCAGAAGCCAGCAATTTAGATGAACTCTATAAATTACAAGAATCGATTGATAAAAATTGTCCCATTCACGATCAATTATATTTTTCCGACTCAGAAACAACTTCAAATTCATCAAAAAGAGGAAAAAGAAGAATAAAAAAGCAATATAAACACAAACCAGTACACTTGTATAATTGGAATCAACCAATTAGACACATCGATAGTTATATATTAACAGTCATTAAACGAAAAAATGAGCCACAGCCATACTCAAAGTGACGATAGTCCAGATGACGAAGAGGTTTACCCCTTCCTCATAGATGCACCCGATAATAGAGGGCAGCATGACTTTTGCAAGAATTTACTCCTAAATTTGTTTGAACCCGGAATCAGCCCATGCAAAGCAGAATTCCCAGATGTAAAAATCAAAAGACAAATTATTGAACATTAT